ATTTCTGACAGTTCTCTGACAGTTCCTTCACATGTACAGCGGTTGAAAAATTGTATCTATTTGTTTCCATTTAGGATACAGATGTTTTACTTCTTCTTCTTCTTCTTCATCCTCATCCTCATCCTCAGAAGAAGAGGATGAGGATGAAGAAGAAGAAGAAGAAGTAGGATGAAAATAAGAATAATTCCAAGCCAGCAAAAAGTGTATCTGCAGAGCTCCTCTAAAATGTATCTGCAGAATAGAGGAGCTCTGCAGATACACTTTTTGCCGGTTTGGATCTGCAGAATAGAGGAGCTCTGCAGATACACTTTTTGCCGGCTTGGAATTATTCTTATTTTCATCCTACTTCTTCTTTTTCTTCTTCTTCATTCTCTTCATCCTCAGAAAGAAGAAGAAGAGGATGAGGATGAAGAAGATGAGAGAAGTCCTTCTTCTCATCCTGAAAATTTCCTTCTTCTCCGGCAAAAAGTGTATCTGCAGAGCTCCGCTAAGAAGTGTATCTGCAGAGCTCCGCTTTCAAGAAATAGGCGGAGCTTGCCTTCTTTTTTGCCGGCTTGGATTATTCTCCTCTTCTTCTCATCTCCTTCTTCTTCTTCTCTCATCCTTCTTCTTCTTCTCATCCTTCTCCTTCTTCTCATCCTTTCCTTTTCTCATCCTCACTTTTCTTCTCATCCTTCTCCTTCTTCCTTCCTAACTTTTTCATCCTTCTCTTCTTCTCATCCTTCTCATCTTCCTTCTCATCATCCTTCTCCTTCTTCTCATCCTTCTCCTCTTCTCATCCTTCTCCTTCTTCTCATCCTTCTCCTTCTCCTTCTTCTCAATCCTTCTCCTTCTTCTCATCCTTCTCCTTTCTCATTCCTTCTCCTTCTCTCTTCTCTTCTCTCCTTCTCCTTTCCTTCTTCTATCCTTTCTTTCTCTCATCCTTCTCCTTCTTCATCATCCTTCTTCTCATCCTTCTCTCTTCTTCTCATCTTCTCTCATCCTTCTCCTTCTTCTCATCCTTCTCCTTCTTCTCATCCTTCTTGTCATCCTTCTCCTTCTTCTCATCCTTCTTTCTCATCCTTCTCCTCTTCTCATCCTTCTTCTCATCCTTCTTCTCATCCTTCTCCTTCTTCTCCATCCTTCTCCTTCTTCTCATCCTTCTTCTCATCCTTCTCCTTCTTCTCATCCTTCTTCTCATCCTTTCCTTTGCTCATCTTTCTTCTTCTCATCCTTCTTCTCATCCTTTCTCCTTCTTCTCATCCTTCTCCTTCACCTTCTTTCATCCTTCCTTTTCTCAATCCTTCATCCTTCTTCTCATCCTTCTCCTTCTCCTCATCCTTCTCCTTCTTCTCATCCTTCTTTCATCCTTCCCTTCTTTCATCTCATCTTTTTCTCATCCTTCTCTTCTCACATCCTCTTCTTCTCATCCTTCTTCTCATCCTTCTCCTTCTTCTCATCCTTCTCTCCTTCTCTTCTTCTATCCTTCTTTCAATCCTTCTTCTCATCCTTCTCTTCTTCTCATCCTTCTTCTCATCTCTTCTCCTTCTTCTCATCCTTCTCTCTTCCTTCTCATCCTTCTTTCTCATCCTTCTCATCTTCTTTCTTTCATCCTTCTCCTTCTTCTCATCCTTCTCCTTCTTTCTCATCCTTCTCTTCTTCTCCCTTCTTCTCCTCCTTCTCCTTCTCCTTCTTTCATCCTTCTCCTTCTCTTCTTCTCATCCTTCTCCTTCTCATTTTCTCTAGCCCACTTTCCTTCTTTCATCCTTCTCCTTCTCCTTCATCCTTCTTTCCCTTCTCTTCTTCTCATCCTTCTCCTTCTCCTTCTTCTCATCCTTCTCCTTCTCCTTCTTCTCATCATTCTCCTTCTCCTTCTTCTCATCCTTCTCCTTCTCCTTCCTCATCTCCAAGGGCATTTAAATTAAAGGTACAGTGTTCTGCACTAATTTAAAGGCTCTCTGAAGCCTAGAAACCCTTTTTATTAAGTTAACTTCGTAGCGGAAATTTAATTCGATCGAATCGAATTTCTTCCTGAAATTCGGCGAATCAGCCGAATCGAATTTTTGAATAATTCGCCTTCATCTTAGTGGTTTACCTTGAACACTGTGTTGCCGATGTTATCATCCCAGAGATTAAGAGCTTTCTTATTGTCTTGTATGATGTGCTGTTGTGCACCTTTTTCAAACAGTCTTTCACAATATATTTATGTGGTTATTGTACAGAACAAGTTATTTGTCCATTTGACAGGGAAATGTGTTTTAAAGGAAGAGACTGAGTAGGACCTCTTGTCCTTGTCTAGGCAGACATTGCCTGTGATGACCCATCCTAGATCCAGACGCTGAGCATATGGTGCATTGTGTGGACCGTTGATTTGATGATGAACTTTGTGCACCCTTAGGATGTCTTGACCAAGTAACAGCAGGATATCGGCACTTTCATCGAGGGCTTGTATTCGGTTGGCTATGTGCTTTAAGTGAGAGAATGGTGGAAAGCAGCTTCAGGAGTAGGGATCTCCTCTTTGATGCTTGGAATCTGGTTGCGCTCAGTGATAGTGACAAAGATATTTCCACATTGTCATTCAGAGGAGCAACTACAAGACCACTGGCTCTCCTACCTAAGACTTCTGTAGTGCCGGAGCAAGTGCTTAGAGTATAAGGCAGAGCATCTCCAGTTATGTTCAATAGTTCAAAAAACTGTGTTCTTGCAAGAGATTCTGTTACTCTGATCATCCAGAATAGTATACAGTCTTATGGCCTTTTCAGGTTGACCTTTGGGGTATACACGGACCAAGCATATCTTTGCACAAGATTTGTCGCAGAATCCTTCTCTGCAGACATCTTTACATGTAGAGAACACTGGGATGAAAGGTGCTGCTTGATCTGGGTGCTCCCCACCTTGCTTTGCCTCAGGGAGATTGTGAGCGTAGCAGAGTTCTGCAAATGTTGATGAAGATCTTGCACATGGTCATCACTGTCACACTCTATGCATTTGATGATCGCTTTACAGTCCTTTTGCAAAGTGTTCTGTGGAGTCACAGCATTTGTAGCAAACCCCAAATTTCTTCTAAAGTTCCTTACGTTCTTGGAGGGTTTTCTTTCTGAAGCCGATACATTTATTAAGTGGATGTGGTTTGTTATGTATTGGACATTGGCAATTTGGGTCTTCAATTCTCTTGTTTTGATCAGTCTTTTCAAGAACTGTAGCAGGTGCAGGTAGAACATTAGTCCTTTTCACTAACGCTGGACCTCTACAGTCTCTGTGTGACATATGTGTGTTCGTAGGTCTTGGAGAGAGTGTACTGAGAAGGTTACAGTCCCCCCATATGAGTAACTTGGGTCATTCTTTAGTGTCTGCAATTCTTTTGATGAACTCGCAGAAGTACGAAAAGGGAGGAAAAGCAACTCTATGTTCTTCCTTATACTTTGATCCAAGCGCTGCCCATCTTTCTTGAATTCCATATGGTAGCTTTAGAACAATAGATTTGATGCCATGAGAGGTGTCAAGGTAAATGAGACCAGGTAAGTTGATGTCAGCCTTAACAAGTTGAAGCTCTAATAGAACATCGCTGATTTCTTGAAACTTTAGATTGTCGTTAGCAGAAATCCTTGGGAAGCTTTGCAACCTTTTGAATAAAGCATCTTCAATGGCCTCTGGGCTGCCAAAGGTATGTCCAAGTCTGCTCCAAGCAGCTTTAAGGCCTGCAGCAGGGTTGTCAATATGAACTGCTTCTCTTGATGCATTCAGTAGACTGGGGACCTAGCCATCTGATGAGTAGATCTAATTCCTCTGTGGCATTGATGTCTAGGTCACTCATTGTGGCCTTAAAAGTGGATTTCCAGCCTCTGTAATTTTCAGGCTTGTCATCAAACTTGGTGAGGCCTGTCTTAACAAGCCCTCTGCAGAGCATGTATTTAGCGAACTGTGTCATGTCCGTGTTTTCATATTTTGGGTGCATGACTGCAGGTGGAACAGAGTTGGTTGTGACGGTTGGTGGACTTACGTAGAGTGACTTGGGAACATATGTTGCTGCTAAGGCATTCAGTGCTGGCGCTGGCTTAAAGTCCATTGGCATGTTGGTTTGTAGAGTAGTGCATAGTGCATTTGCTTGGAGATACTCTGTTGGTGCCAAAGTGGATGGTCTTAAATAAACACCAGTGCCTGAGGCTAGCTGAGATGCTGCAGTCTGATGTATTGGAGGATATAAGGGCAAATCATCCTGAGGTACAGTAGGTGCAGAGAAGATACTTTGATTGAGTAGTTTGGCTGCTGTGACAGGAAGTTGACATTCTGGAGAGATGTGCGAAGAATCTGAGACATAAGATACAACTGAGTGTCTGGAACTGTTGTCTCTTGTTTTCACGAGCGGCTTGTTCTAAGACCCAGAACCTTGCCATGGCTGTGGCATGCTCACATTGTTTTTCCAAAACTTCAATTTCTTGCCTCTTGGGGTGTGGCTTCAGCTTCTTTCTCTGCTTTCAAATGTGAGGCCTGAGCCTCCATTTCTGTGGCCTGAGCCTCCATTTCTGCTTTCCTGTGTGTGGCCTAAACCTCCATTTCTGTGGCCTGAGCCTCCATTTCTGCTTTCCTGTGTGCAGCCTAAACCTCCATTTCTGTGGCCTGAGCCTCCATTTCTGCTTTCTTATGTGCGGCCTGAGCCTCCATTTCTGCGGCCTGAGCCTCCATTTCTGCGGCCTGAGCCTCCATTTCTGCTTTCCTTTGGGCGAAAGCTGCCTGAATTTTAGAAGCTTCAGCATCAGCATCAGCACGGACTTTTATTAGTTGTTGACTGAGTGTAGAGAACCTTGATTGTATGGATTTGGAAGATCTTGAGTGTCTAGTAGACGCAGAGCGATAAGATCTGGATTCATGGAGCTGTGCTATTCTCACTTCTGCCTTTGTCTTTGTTCACACCGCTAAATTGTCTCTTTCAAGATTGAGCTCCTCAAAACTCACACACACACTATATTGCCCAAAGTATTGGTCCTGCCCTCCATATCATGTGATTCAGGTGTTCCAATCACCTCCATGGCCACAGGTGTGTACAATCAAGCCCCTAGGCATGCAGACTGCTTCTACAAACATTGGTGAAAGAATGGGTCGCTCTCAGGAGCTCAGTGACTCCAAGTGTGGTCCCGTGATAGGTGGCCACCTGTGCAATAAGTCCATCTGTGACATTTCCTGGCTACTAAATATTCCACGCTCAACTGTTAGTGGGATTATAGCAAAGTGGAAGCAACTGGGAACAACAGCAACTCAGCCACCAAGTGGTAGGCCATATAACATGACAGAGCGGGGACAGCGCATGCTGAAGCGCACAGTACGCAGAAGTCGCCAACTGTCTGCAGAGTCCATAGCTAAAAACTTTCAAACTTGGTGTGGCCTTCAGATGAGCACAACAACAGTGCTTAGAGAGCTTCATGAAATGGCTTTTTCATGGCTGAGCAGCTGTATCCAAGTCTTACATCACCAAGTGCAATGCAAAGCATTGGATGCCTTGGTGTAAAGCACGCCACCACTGGACTCTAGAGCAGTGGAGATGTGTTCTCTGCAGTGACCAATCACGCTTCTCTTGCTGGCAATCCGATGGACAAGTCTGGGTTTGGCAGTTGCCAGGAGAATGGTACTTGCCTGACTGCACTGTGCCAAGTGTAACGTTTTGTGGAGGGGGGGATTATGGTGTGGGGTTGTTTTTCAGGGGTTGGGCTTGGCTCCTTAGCTCCAGTAAGGGGAACTCTTAAGACGTCAGCAAACTAAGACATTTTGGACAATTTTATGCTCACAATTTGTGGGAAGAGTTTGGGGATGGCCCTTTCCTGTTCCAACATAACTGCACATCAGTGCACAAAGCAAGGTCCATAAAGACATGGAGGAGCCAGTTTGGGGTGGAGGAACTTGACTGTCCTGCACAGAGTCCTGACCTCAACCCCATAGAACACCTTTGGGATGAATTAGAGCGGAGACTGCGAGCCAGGCCTCCTCTCCCGACATCAGTGCCTGACCTCACAAATGTGCTTCTGGAAGAATGGTCAAACCTTCCCATAGACACCCTCCTAAACCTTGTGGATGGCCTTCCCAGAAGAGATGAAGCTGTTGTAGCTGCAAAGGGTGGGGCCAACTCAATACTGAACCCTACGGACTAAGACTGGGAGGCCAATAAAGGTCATGTGCACAGAAAGGCAGGTGGCTTAATACTTTTGGCAATAGAGTGCATGTACTGTATGTAAAGTATGTGTGTGTGTGTGTGTGTATATATATATATATATATATATATATATATATACACTGTCACGGATCCACCCCACATGCCCACAGCAACTAGCTAACCGAGGAGTGCACGTCCGTGACTTGGGGTAAGAGGGAATAAGGGGGACTTAATCTGAATATATATAAGACCAGCCGTGATATACTTTCACAGCCCGCACTACCTCTGGCCACCACTAGAGGGAGACTCCACTCCAGTCCAGATGGCTGACCACACACACAGGCAGATATAAATCTTATATACAATCTGGTGCACACTAAGGGTTGAGAAGCAGCCTAGCAAGTGGCACCCCTTCTAGGATTCCTCCAGCTATCCTACAAGCTAGAACCCCGATGTTAATCACTCTTCCACTGTCCACACACCCCCACACCAGACACACCACAAATGGTAGCTTGCCACCACCCAACAGTTTTATCCACAGACTGGCCTGCTGGGCCACCACACACACACACAGATCTCCATCTGGCAGACCTGTTACCTTTACAATCTGCATGCAATCTGCCAACACACAGTGCAATTGCATACAGATTGGCAATGAACTTGACCGAGCATATAAAGACACTGCAATACAATACAATCTCTTCGGAGATATGAGCCCAAGCTTAAGTACCCAGAAGTCACTTATTAATTTTATGATTTAATATCCCGAAAGTGGGCAGTGCATAAAATATGTACAAAATATAAAAAGTTACAGAAAATACAAGAAGACACACAATTGGCTATTGACTATAAAATAAAAGGGAATAAAAACAGAAAGAAAACTTTTACCAAGAGTTATCCCGCGACTGGAGCAAGTCAGAGAAAGTCCGCAATCTGTCAGTCAATAGAACTGGCTCCATATGAATCACACCGTCCATATCTCAGGGTCCTCAATTTATGGGAATATGGACATGGGCTGGACATTAGCCCTTGGCCAGTTGACTCTGGGGGGTGTTCCTGTACCAGCCCACAGGATGTTCTGGGTACTGAAATGCCCAAAGTCGATTGGACCAGGAACGGTTTGAATCACCAAGTCAGGGATTGAACTTCCGACACCAGCGCATCAGTCTGATCATGACAGTAACAATCACTGTTCAGCTGTTGCAATCAGGCACCATATAACAGTTTTCTGCATTTCTCGGGGATTCTACATAGGCTACAAATACAGTTTTACATGCAGATGTAGCCTACAGTGTGTCCAATCAGAAGGAAGTATTTTCATCTCTCTGCAACTAATATTTTAGCTTTTATGAGAGATGAAATCTATTCCTTTGATCTGCTGATATACTTTAGAGCTCCTAGACAGATTGGAGCTCTCTCTTGGTCTCCCACTGCCTCTGAAGCTGAAATGTCTAGAAGTAGGTGACAAATCTTATTGGCATCCAGGTGTCACCTCCAGTCTAGAGGAAGGTCTGTCCCTTCAGATGCTAATTGGTGACCATATATCTCTAACTTAATTCTGAACACATCTTATATTAACATGGAATGCTAAATCTACATTGTCATATTTCTACAGGTCACATCTCAGCTACTCAAATCTTACATGTACGTTACACACAAATACATACATACATATATACACATATACTATATAAACACATACATGCCAACCAATCATAACTTTACTACTAACAGGTAACATTGATTATCTCATTACAATAACATCTGAAAATGAGTGGGATATATTGGGCAGAAAGTGAACATGTTTCCCCTGAAATTGGTGTGTTGAAAGCAGAAAAAATGGGCAAGCAAATGGATTTGAGGGGATTTGACAAGAGCTAAGTTGTAATGGCTAGAGGACTGTGTCAGAGCAATTACAAAACTGCATCTCTTGTGGGATGCTGCTGGTCTGCAGTGCTTAGGACCAACCAAAAGTGGTCCAAGGAAGGAAAACTAGCCAACCGATGACAGGATCATGGGTGACCAAGGTTTCTTGGGGCAGCACAGTGGCTAAATGGTTAGCAGGTGGAGTACTAGGGTCACTGGTCTGAATCCCACCCATGGCACCACCTGCCTGGAGTTTGCATGTTTTCCTTGTGCTTTTGTAGGTTTCCTCTGGGTACTCTGGTTTACTCCACATGCCAAAGACATGCTGGTAGGTTAATTGGCTCCTGTCTAAACTGGTCCTCATATCTGTATGTATGTGAGTTAGAGACCCTTAGATTGTATGCTCCTTGAGGCTTAGGGACTGATATGAATGTACAATATATGTGTAAAGTGCTGCGTAAATTGATGGAGCTATATAAGTACCTGTAATAAATAAATACAATTGATGGAGGTGGAGCGCAAAGTCCGATGCAATAGAGGACCTAATGTAGTTTAAATTGCTGAAAAAGTGAATTCTGGATCTGATAGAAAGGTGTCAAAACACACACAAAGCATCACAGTTTTGTATAGGGCTGTGTAGCTACACACCAGTCAGGGTACCCATCTGTCCACAGCCAAAAGCACAAAGGGCATGTGAGCATCAGAATCGGAGCATACAACAATGGAAGAGGATGGCCTGGTCTGATGAGATTTTGACTTGGCCTCAAAATTTTTCAAGTCTCAGCTCAATCGAGCATATGTAGGAATTGCTGGAAAAACAAATCCTATTCATGGAGGCCCCACCTCACAATTTACAGGACTTAAAGGATCTGCTACTACAGCATAACTTCATAGGTCTAGTAGAGTCCATGGTTCCACAAGTTATGGTTATGGTGGGGGGTGGACGGTCAAAAAGTTATGGCTGATTGGTTTGCATGGGACAGCAGTGAAGAACTAGATTTAGGGCAGGGTGGCATTTGCACTCCCAAGCCAGTGCTAATTTGATATGTTGGGATGGTGGCCCTGAGTGGAGATACTTCACAATTCAGACACTGTCCAGAGCAGGACCTAGTGACACATGCTGGTCATTATATTCAGTAAGTACATTTGTGTGTGAAAGAAGGTAGCATCTGAAAAAATGAGAAACCTGATCTCAAACTTCAGTAAACATTTGTAATAGGACTCCAAAATCCTATGGTAAGTTAGAGTACTGTTCATTGTATCTATTTTGTCTCCGCAGCCTCACTGACTGCGATTTGACCCCCTCATGCTGTGATAATCTCCGCTCTGTTCTTATTGCAAACCGATCTGTCACCAAACTGTATTTATCAAGGAACCCTCTAAAGGATTCTGGAGTAAGACTTCTGTGTGAGGGACTCAGATATCCAGGCTGTACCCTGCAAGAGCTGAGGTGAGAATCTTACAATATATTATACTGTACAATAATATTCAGGACTGAAACTTCTGTGTGATTAACTGTACATTACTGAAATGTTAAAGAAAAAATATGTTAAGACTTACAAATTTTTGTTACAATTAGATATTTCTAACGCACATCAAAGACATACTTAGAATTGTACCCCAAAACACATTCTGCTACTCCTCCTGAGTATGGGGATACCACAGGTGTGAGACTTTTTTCAGCCTAGCAACATAGAGAGCTCCAAAATCCAAAGAGCACCTTCGGCATTTCAGGGGCATAAATTACTCATTTAATTTCTTAACTACCTATAAAATGTTTGGAGGCCCTGGAGCACCAGGACAATGGAAACACCCATGAAATTACCACATTTTGGAAAGCAAACTTCCCAAGGTTTTTTTAAGAGGCATGGTGAGCCTTTTTAAGAGTTTATTATTTTGCCACAGGTTTTTGAAAAATGCAAAAAGAAAATGAAAATAATTTTTTACATTTTCTTGTTGTCAATATAATTAGATATTTCTTACACACAGCATGGGTATGCTTAGAATTACACCTTAAAACACATTCTGCTGCTCATACTGAGTATGGTCCAGTGTCTGGACTGATTATATACTGGACATTGTATCTTGTTAGTCACAAAAATCAACCAATTGTATGAAAACCAATGTACTGTAATGGCCACCTCCATACAAGTGGTCAGGGAATAAAGCTTAGTGTAGCATCACCTGTAGCAGTCCCAGCTCCTGTATGCAAAGCAAGCCTAACTTTCAGGTTCCTGGCTGCCCCCAGGAATGCCATGTTCAGTGACCAAGAAATACACAAGGCTAAAGAAAGAAGAACAAAAAAGTCCCTTTGGTTCCAGGAGTGCAATTGTCCGCAGGGGATGTCTGGGAACAGTTTCTGACTTACACTGGTGTGGTGACACTTTGACTGACATGGCAGTGATTAGGGACATTGGGTACAATTCACTAAGCGGTATCTTACTGCAT